GTATTGTTGACCCGCAATTTAGTGCTTAACCAGTTTGGACAAGTAAACATTGCCTTGAAGATTTGTAGAATTAATTATCAAGCTTGAAGAATTACGGATAAAAAGATGCGATCAAAAGGAAACGATAAAACGTTTAGCGGCATAAAATCTCTATGAAAATTGTTGTTCGGAAAAGAGAAAGAAGTCGTAACGTGTCATATGTTGTTTTGACATTGTTAACTAAAATGGGTCACGATCCGCCGCCTATATTAATCTAGCTCTTGATGCCCTTTACAAAAATTGTTCGTTATAAAGCATGATTTTACAAGAAAAACGAACAAAAATGTCGAAAAATTGCAGATTCAACTTCAGCGTGTAGAAACAGCGAAACTTACATCGAAACTGAATCGGCAAATTCCCTAGAACTCACGTCATAATATTTCTTCAAAACAATTACCTCATTATATTCAGCCAATCGGCAACCAGTACCTGCTCATGGGAGCTAGTGYTCCTATTAATATTAATGAGACCGATTGGCCCGTCGATCRTTGACCAATCACAGCAAAGATCGCGCTATCTCCGATTTTGGAAGTTGTGTGTGGTGTATGATCTTTGATTGATGGTAGATTTTCCAGGTTTTTAGGAAAAAATTATCTCCTCCAACATGAAGGTGATTTGGGGGCTGTTAGCCCTGGGATTGCTGGGTGTATTTACGAGAGCGAAGCCTTCACATCGTAAGTAAAAACTTTGCTTTTTTATCTGGGATGTTTCCTGCGAGTGGAAGTGAATTCAAGCGATGGATTTTTCGCTGTCTTGAGCGGACGATGAGATAATCAACTGTGTMSTTGGGAGACGCAAAATTCTTAGAACTCAACAACTAGAGATCTTAAATCCAACGAAAAATACATCGTTTTGAATGCAATTTATTGTATAGAAACTACTAATTCTAGAAATAATGTCTTAAACTTGATACGCAATGATTTTACGAAGGCTTGACCGTGGGCTGCACTACCTGCTAGAGCTTACAAGGGTTCGATAAGCAGAGCACTTCATGTACGTTCTGTTGACGGTAAAGCCACGAAATCAAAAGCGTTTAAACTTTATATGATAGATATCTTAACTCCGAACCCTGGTATTTTGAAATGTATCTATTCTCATGAGAAGGAAAGRACTTGTTCTCATTTTTAAAAGTCGTTTTGTTGATATTAAGAATTATTCTTGCGAGGCGTCGGTATTTTCGCTAAGAACTATTTGAAGAGGCCTGAAGTGCCTCGTTTATTCATGCAAAAAAGGGTGCGGTTTTCGCAAATTTTCATTCCTCAAACGAATGAAATACTTGCGTGTTCCATATTTGTTGCAAATAACCAACTGCAAAAATACTCTGACGCGGTCAATTTTCTTCCGTATCAAAAATCCAAATTTCTCGATTATATCTTTGGGATTTGGACAATAATTTCATGTGTGCAAAAAATGATTACTTCGTTATTGCTTTAGATTTATCTTCAGAAAGTACACTTCTTTGGTGTTTTTGTTTTCGTTTAATGTACATTCCTATGTCATTCGTACATGTTGAGTTATTATTTTCAACATGAGTCTGTCAATCACAACATGTGCATTTGACAAATTGCCCAGTCTGTTCGATAAATAGCTCATTTCCTAATATTGAAAGATGTTTCCTTTTTAGTAAAAAACAAAAATGACTCCAAGATTCAGCAATTCTTTTTGCTAAATTGAAATGTTAAACAAAAASTATTTAGTTACTAATAAATCCGAAATGTCCAATGATCTAATTAATATGTTTGGAATAAAAATATTGTTGAAATTTGATAAACAAATAATTTTTTACTATTCTCTCCAAGTTACATTAAAGAAATTGCATTCATTGTTTCGAAAATAAGTGAAATTTCAAAAATACAAAGATCAAATAGTGTGAGAAATGGGAGGAGAAGAATGCTAAGGATCACTGACTTGCATTCTCGCGATTTTATGCATCAAAAACATATCAAAAATCCTCTTTCGCGTACATTTATTTTTTAGTAGTTTACGATTCTGTTTAATCTTACGTTTTCTTCGTTTACACCATACTTCACAGCGGCCATCTTGGAGGAACTTTAAGAAGGGATTTCTCATTTGTATCTATTGTTCATTCTTCCAACATGGCCGCCGGTATTTTTTCTTTTCTTATCCCATAGAAATGGTTGAAAACGATCAATATAGATGCTGAAAAAAACATTAGAATAAAGTATAAGATTAAAAGTGAAATAAAAGTGAAACTTGCTTCAACGGACGGCGTTTACATTGAGTAAAATTTCACGGTAATGAACTTGAACAAGCCTACTGATTCAGTAGTTTGCTGAACAAAACTTGTGTGTCCACTAAACTCATAGTGCAGTTTACTCGGCGATGTATCTYGCTTGTGTTTCTTCGTGGACCTGACGTGTCAAGGAATCCTTGTCACTGATGTGTTTTCGTAGCATTTTGTATCATTGTTTCGTGGTTGGTTGGAAAGTTCATTATTTAGTTAACTAGCTAGCTGATTATTAAGTTTYATGTTCGGTTTTTAGATATATTATTACTTTGAACGAAGAAAACTGACTTGCTAGAGTATTTTTGTAACCTACCCCTCCCCTGTTATATTATGTCCTCTATTAAACATTTTTCCCTTTCTTTCAACAAGGGCATTCACTTTTCGATGACTCTGAGAGAACACTTATTAGAGTTACTCGATCCGACCTCGATGATGAGGAACCTAAGGTTGAGCATCACAAGAAAATCGAGAAGAAACGCTCAACAGAGGGTTAGTATACTTCCTTATTATTTGCGATCTGATTGGCTGTTTTTATAAATATGGTGGATATAACATGCAATCCGATTGGCTGTTACACTGAACATGATATACTTAAATGTGATTGGCTAAGTTTCCTATCTTTGTTACAGAGCATTTAAAGAGATCTCGAAGAGCACAACAGGAAGGTAARCCGCTTTGCGCATGCGTATGTCAAAGGCTTTATTTGCTCTTTAATAGCTTTCTGGACTCGAACTCGGACCAGTGGATTTCAAAAGCAATGACTTGATCACTACCTTTATCACTGCTATGGCAACAGATGAGTAAACAAACAAATAGTTTTAACCACAAAATCTTTTGATTATTTCTCAGACGAGTTTTTCCAAGCGCTCCTTTCCCGTTCTGCTAAAACAAAGAATGGTACGTGTACTAACTATTCTCTATTTAGTATCAGGAACAGAACCAAGACGAATGTACACAGTGCACCAAGAAAGCAGATCCCTTGGTTATAATATTTACAATTTATTTTACCTTTTCCAGAGCAAAAACGGTCTTTCGAGGATAATGGCTCCCAGAGCAAAGGTACCAGTTATTTATAGACTGTCTGGTWTATATAACATTTCATTTCTAAGGTTTAACCCACTCTCTTGCGGTATCGTTTTKGTCTATAATTCCCTGAAGGATTGGAAGCCATTTAAATRCGCAACAAAAACGCAGGGACATCATCATTCATTGAAAAACAAACGAACAATAATACATTACAACCTTTATATTCTCGTAAATGAATGACAAAAATAACACCATTTTTAATAAAATAATATAAAATACGTTTTAATAAGGTAACTGTAAGTGAGCGAGTGAGTGAGTGAGTGAGTGAGAAATATAACATGTAGATAAATCTAAACGTCATAAATAACGTTCCACTTGTATAGGGTTTATCATTCGGGACGATTGGAAGGGTGATTCCAAGATATCAGACGCCGACAGGACAGGTAGAAATAGTAACAGACWGCTACARCCATCATTTMACAATACTTGCTTTAAATACCGTCTTRAAAATATCACAAATAGTAACAGACTGCTAAACATCCACAGCCATCAATTCAAATCCACGATACATGCTTTCAATGCAATCTTTGTTGCAACGCTCTGGAGTAGCAGGACAAGAAGCTTAGTTTCCTTGCATGTAACGAAGGAAGGAGTGCAACCAACTCACGTCCATAAAATGCTTTGGGTAGCATGCTCTTAAGTGCAACGCTATCAATGACGATAAATGATTTAATAAATCTATTGTGCTTGTCTTTTCTAGAGCTGGAGAATCTATTCAGTGCTATCAATGCTCCAGCAGAGAAGACTGAAGAAAAGAGAAGCAGTCATGATGTAAGCTGAATAGTTGTACTGTTCAATGAATCAACGAGGGCGGATCCAGGGGGTGTGGTTAGGAGGGTGAYTATATACCCCCTTTTTAGCGCTTATTTGTCCGCTGTATTTGTTGGTAAAAACAAAAGAAAACTGTTGAGAGTGTGATATCAACTATAAGTCTCACTAACCTATCACTGTCAAATGAAAATAWTTCGTTAATATTTCCTCACGTCTTTTTATTATTTTTAGGGCAAAATGTATGATTTCACACAGTGGCTTGTTAGTCAATCCGTAAGTTCTAGCCAGACTTTCTTTCTATGATGAATTATTATATTTTTATGGCGTATTTTATACATTTTTTGATTTATTGATCTCATAAGCTCATTATTTCTTCATTTGTTCATCTATTTATCGTCCATAGAGCGCCATATTTACCAAGTCTCTTAAGCACATCGTAGATGTCGAGCGGTCGCTTTCCAAGATGATCTACAATGGTAAGTTACACATGCATTGCGACCACTACCGCGACCGACCATGCAGCTCTTGTTCGATTTGTTTAGATTCCGACCAGTTTATAACGGCTTTTAACCAAATGCTTTATTAACACTAACCACAACTTATCCATAATATTAAATAGATGACATCATAAAGAAATTGAAAGGTGAGGAAGAACAGTCAAGTAAACACTAACGCATTCATAGTCTTGCTATTCGTTCTGTCTTCCCTCCCCTCCTTCTCTGTACTGCTCCCCCCTGTCTCTTCTGTACTAATGTTAATCAAAAAAGATTGTATAACCAGCCACTTGACAATCGAGCCTCAGAATACTTTTTCTTAATGTTTATAACATAATTATAATAATCTGATGTTTATAATTAACTAAAAGTATGCCTAACTAATGCATGACTTACTTTAACCTCTTCCTATCTATAAAGCACGCAAAGTCCAACTATTAGCAGGTAAGATATCCTAGTCCTGAACATTGTTATTTTTAACACATGACGCTTCATACTATGTACTTATTGACTGAGTGGGAGGGCCGTACGGGAAAATATTTGGCTCGAGGTTATGCCGTACGGACCGAGCATATGACAGCGTTTTTTAATGTAAAAAAATAAATAAAAGTGCGCGGAACTTCAAGCCGGGAAAATACGGGTTTGTACGGACCAGTTGCGAAAAGGCGTACGGACCACATCGCGTGAGCATTTTACAAAGGTTTCAGTGAGAGCGCGCGTAGGGCCGAAATACGGGTCATATGATAAACGCACTTATTTTACAATGCTGTCGAGCTGCATACGTCCCATATGTTTCCAACGTTTTTTATCGCTCTTACAGATGGAATAACCAAGAATGAAACCAAATCCAAGGAAGTATCTCTAGCTGATCAAGCTTTATCKGATGAAAAGGCGCGCAAAAAGTTCTGCAAGACAAAATGCTACGACATCAATGTTTCTGGTATAAACTGCCGTATCATTTGTCATCCTCCCCATATCGACACCACCAATGGTCTCCAAATGCAGCAGCTTCCCTATGCGCCGCCTTGCRCTAACCCTAACTGTGGAGTGGGGGTCGGACAAACACCRTGTGCCCCACAAGGGTGCACACCTGGGTACCCACAGCAGATGACTGGGTATCCACAGACATATAACCCCTATGGAGKTGTCGTTCCACCCACCACGGTCTACAGTCCTAACCGAGGGTATGGACACTTCCACCAGCACGCAAAGCATCATCCAAARGCGGCCAAGGGAAAGAAGGGAAAGAAAGAAAAGGATAAGAGTAAGGATAAGAAAGCTAAAAAAGGCAAGAAGGGATCGAAAGCACAGGACAAACACCCTGGTAAGATATATACTATTTGCAACAACAACAGCAACAACAACAGCAACAACAATATCAACTAAGTTATTAGTTATTTCATAGATATGATAAAATTGTATAAATATAATTGTATGTTTTCAGTTCTCGAAAAGCAGCATGACGACTCAAACTCAACCGACTCCTCCTCAAGCAGCAGCTCAGAAGACAAAAAGAAGAAGAAAAAGAAGTTGCAAAAATTGCCAGAAATTCCAGACACAGAAGACATTGACAGCGAGTACGAATATGAGGGACCTGGRGCYGAAAATGAGCTWGAATACGAGCATCCTCATTGGCTTCATCATAAGTCGGACCATAGAAAGGGTGCTTTCGGTATGTTGACATCCACTTTATCCATCCATTTCTAGGATACGTTTATAATATTACACTGATTTTATAATCTGCACGATGGCTGTGCATTTGTTGTCTAAATTTGCTCTTTCGTTTGAACAGGACAAGGTGAAGGAATGGGAGGAGGAAGYGTCGGAGGAGGCGGCGGTGGTGGAGGAGGGCTGAAGGCTAAGTACGGCCCTGTAACCCTCAACACATTAGGAGCAACTGTTCATATAACACCCATGAGCTTCAGTTCTCCCGGTGGTCCCTCAATGCCTCCAGCAGGTATCCAAATTGGACCCCCTAACCCCAGTATGGTGAATAACCCTATGATTCCACAACAACCATACTACAGTCCTATGCAGAATCCSTATGGTGTTCAACCTCTTCCTGCCAACCAGGATGAGTCGACTCAAGCTAATGTCGTCGAGGATGCTGCAGCTCGTTCGTTCCAACCTATGCCTAAGGATTGTGAGGATTACACTCATAAGAAATGCCAAGTTTTCCTGGACTGGCCTACCGATGAGAACAATGAGATCAAGGCTTCGTTGAGATTCAAACAGAACTGGCACCCAGACTATCGTAARAAGGASTCAACCAAATACAAGATCTTCAAGGAAGAGATTGAAAAAGCTGTATGTTCCTCATCGTGTATATATAAATGCGTGTGCATGTTTTCGTTAAAATTCTCATTTATTTTTTCAGTTCCGTGATGCTTACACTCAAAATCCTAACTTCTTGGGAGTTAACGTCACAAGCTTTAGGTAAATTTGTCAGGATATACGCGTATGGATCACTGTAACACTGCTATTCTCTCTAAKCCTGCTTTCACAAGCGCAATCGCAGTCGTAAATACAATAAAAAGCGCTTCTCTTTATACTTTTACATTTTGACTGTGTAAATATTTCATTGATTTTTTTATTTATTTTTTCTTCATTTAGTGAAGAAGACATGAAGACAGCTGCAAACTTTGTTCTGAAGTTTTACCAACCAGAAAACGGAGCTCTACGATTGCTGTCCAACGCCATCTCCAACAACTACGTGATGTCCATGCCAGTCTACAAAGACACTTTACTCAGAGATGGACTAAAGCACCTTCGCCGTAATTTTGTCTCAAGACAGAAAGAGGTTGATAAGCTCCCATCTAAACCTGCAGAGAAGCCAGAAAAGAGAAAAAAGACTAGTAGCTTACTGGATTCAGAATCAAAAGGTTTGTGTGACTAATATCCATCATGTTTACTATAACAAACACTCGAAGTTATTCCAAMATGCTTTAATCATATCACTGTTATCTTTCTCGCAGCTTACCAGGGCTGCTTCAAGGACAAAATGCCCGAACGCGATCTTCCAGTAAGATTTTCCAAGTTTCAAATGACTCCAGAATGGTGTGTTGGTCGCTGCAAGTTGGCTGGTTACAAGTTTGCAGGTGTCCAGTACGCGTATCTGTGTTTCTGTGGCAACAAGTTTGGTAGATATGGAAAGGTTGAGGATAAAGAATGCAGTAGTCATTGTTATGGTGACCGTAACCGATTCTGTGGGTCTTTCTGGCACAACTCTGTGTATTCCATTGGTAAGTGCTACTGATATTTCCGCAAAAGAAATGTTCTTCTCTTTCTTGTTCTTCTTCAATTCTATYCTTTTTTCTTGCCTATTATATCATCTACTTCTTCTACACATTATTTCTCTTCATCTTGMTATATTCATCTTTTCTTCTTCGTCTAAAAGCTCGACCTTTCTCCGACCTTTTTCTCAGTATCCTACCTCATGTTCATCCCCTTCTCTGGTTCAAGTGCACAGGCAACCCAACCCTCGTCAATTATTTCAATTGTTAATTCTTATTGTCTAGATGGGCAAAAACACGATGTAGCTGAATTTGCCCACTCAAAGGATGATGGTGATGATGATAAAGATGAAGGGTCAGCCAATGATAACCCTGACAAGAAAGCCGCTGGTGAGAACTTGTCTTGTAATAATAACTAAAATATTAAACTCCTGCGGAGTCATTAAACTAAAGCTAACAKTTTTTTTTCTATTCTTTTGCAGACAAAGAACATGGTAACAAACAATTCTTTTCGTTTTTCGCTTTGCTTGTTTAGTTTGTTTTATATCATTATTTTTTTGATTTTTTTATCTTTTTTTTGCTGTTGTTTCCCATCTTATTATATCAATTCTCATAATTTTCGACTAACCACGCTTTATTTACGTTCTCTTTTTAGCTGAAGTAGCCACAAATCTAATGAAAGGTAAGCAAACAAATGCACAAGAATTAATGCTCATGCGACCATGTCACAAATCAACCGAGCGCGGGTTAAGGGAAACGTCCAACATCGGGACTAGATGTCTGCATAGATAACGATTATATTTTTGACTGATTTATATGATTTATGTTACTGACATATCTATCTTTCTTGATCTCCAGCTGCTGAAGCTGCTCTCAAAGGTAGGCATGGAATAGGATAATAGGAAGTGGACTTATGAATGAGAAAACGAATGGAATGCAAACAATAAAGAAACGGAGAGAAGTGAATGTGCGTTTCTCTGTGAGAGAAAGCAAAACAATTATTAGATATAACAGGACACGACATGACTTTTTCTATCATATAAAACACAATTCCTGATTATTTTTTTTATTTTCCTTTTTTCAGCTGCCAAGAAACTATTACCACGTGAGTGTTGTTTTCTGTATGTCTGATGATTAGCATCATGTCTCATGAATGATTTCCTGTTAACAGAGGGTAAGAAAGAAAGAAGAGACGCAGAATCAGAGCTCGAGCAGGAGAAAGCAACAGCACTTTCAGCACTTGGAGGTACAGCTAATTTGAGACTTGTCATTGTCATCTCCAGGCCATTATGATTAACATCGACATCAATCAATCATTGTCGCATACTCTCGTTATACTTATCGCATTGGCGACCGTAATTAGCGAGTGGTCGGTGTAGAGGGTGTTATTTTCAGTGATTTCCTTGGAGCGGGGCTTCATTAAAGAGGTCGTAATAACGGAGTGTTCGTAATATCTGGGTGTCGTCAAGAACATTCTATTTATTATTTACATTTTGACTTCTCTCAATTGTTTCGTTTCCTTTCAGCCGCACAAAGCGTGATGGACAACAGCGAGAGGCAGCGAAAGATTGAAAAACGTGACGCCGACTTGCATGAAGGGCGTGACTTGCTCGTCTCGTATCTAGGCAACGTCGGTGGCTATGACAGACAGTATCGTAGTGTGGACAGCCAGGAAGAAGGAGAAGGTATTGAACTTATGCACATGATGCTCACTGTATGCTTTAGTTTTCGTATTACAAAGGCGACTTCAGATGATAGAATAGTAGAATTTCGTCTTCACACAAATTATCATCAACGCAAATGTTCATGAGAGTTTTGCATCCGTTATATTCCTTCTGCCATCCAACATGGCTACCGTAGCCAGGCATCACGTGATGCTGTATTAACCTGTTTTAACCTGTTTGACAAGCTTCCTCATATTTCACACTATTTTGTCGTTTTTTCACTTCCATTAACAGCAGATGCTCCTAAGTTTGAATACAAACGTATGCTGATTGACGAGTCTGGTGATGGAGAATTTGTCGAGAAAGATGGCGGTGAAGAGGAGAAGAAGAAACACAAACGCTCCGTCTCTCATGATGTATCTAAGAGAAGGAGAAGAAGGTTCGTACTTTGGAGATGATTTTTGGATCTCTCGCTTGCTGTGCCTTTAGTTGTTGTTGTTGTTGTGTTCTTGTTGTCGTTGTTGTTGTCGTTGTTGTTGTTGTGTTCTTGTTGTCGTTGTTGTCGTTGTTGTTGTCGTTGTTGTTGTTGTTGCTGCTGTTGTTGTTGTTTCCATAAAAACGACGACATTGTCATTTGGTTTCCTCAACCAAACTTGTTTTTTTCCCTGCCGTTTTCTTTCTCAAGTTTCTAACGTAAATTCTTTCTTTCATTCAAGTTCATTCATCAAAAGAATTAAAACAAGATTTCTTGTTGTTCTTATTGTTTTACTTTCGAGAAAAAGAGATCCTCATTTCAAACTCTAAATCCTTCCCAGGTCGGTGAAAACTGAAGACGAACCAGTTAAAGCCGTCGAAGATAAACCAAAGAAAGTTCACAAACCAAGACCACAACCCGCAGTAGTCAAAAAGGCTCATGATAAAGCAGAAAAGAAAGAAATTAAAAAAACCAAACCAACAGCTGATAAGCCAAAGCCAAAGATTGCTACCGCCAAAAAGGTCGAAAAGAAACCTGTTGCAGATAAAGTAGAGAAGAAAGAATCAAAGAAAGGTGAGTGCAGATTTGATGTTATTTTATTTTCATGCAAAAATATGAAAATCAATCCGATCAAATCTTCTGGAGTGATTTTGCTTACAAATAGATTAGTTACAATTTGCAGTGAAATAGTCTTCCAATCTTTTCACACTTTATCATTCTCCAGAAAAACGATCTGTAAAACCAGAAGAAAAAGTGCTCCACAGATCAAGACGCGAGCTGGTCGAAGAAGAAGAGGAACCAAAAACAAAGGTAGAAAAGTAGATGTTGTAGCCCTCGTTCGTAGTAATTCAAAAGCATTTATTATAACTGCTTCCTTAAATTCTATTCATGTGTTGACTACAGAGGAAGTTGTTTGCTAATTGCCGACATTATTCTGTCCTATTCCGTGCAGCCTTTTTCCTTCCTTTTTCCAAGCTTTCATTTCTCCCTTTCTTCTTCCTTTCCTCCTTTTTTCACAATTCCTTCCCTCTTCATTACGTGCTTTTTTAATCAATATCCTCTCATTTATAGAGTTTGGAGATTTTTTTGTGAACAATTTCTGATTTTGTGCTTAAGTTACAGCTGGTAAAATTGTTGTTTGTTCTATTGCAGCGCGATATCTGGCTTGACGACAACAAAACTTCTCAAATGCAGAGCGATATTAATAATGGTGAGTACTATTTCACTTGCAAATCAGAAACAAATTWGTAAMCCTCGATTGCTCCAAGGTCGCTTAACGTGCRCCAACGCTAGGTTGCCTCGTTTGGTTTTAACACTGAATGAACGCCGTTATCCGCATTTAAACTGCCCAACTWTGTACAATTGCCYATCAGTAAGATCTATACTTCAATTCTCGCATGTGGATCACTGATTCCATGCATCCCACATGGRAGAATAACAGCTAACTACTTAACTTTCATTGGTTTCCTTTGACTATTCAGGTATTGAATCTTCTCTGGAAATACTATTGGACGTCTTTAAGGGTAGAAAAACCCTTGAAAACTTCAGAGAATCAATACTGAAACTGAAAGAAGACGTCGCTTCCACGTTGTCTGTATCAAAGTACCAGAGATCAGAGGTGAAGGCGAAAATACGATCAATCATCGACAAGGAACTACCAAAGAGAACAACTGGTATGAAAGGGCAAGATTATTTAAGTCGTAGTAAAATCTTTTGAATATCAAATTTTCATTCATAATTCCATTCATTTGCATTCGATTTTTTCAACAGCGTTCTTTAAAAAGCTCCGAGACACRATAGGAGATTACGCWGTYTCKCATGCYGCTGTAGCACCACAAGCTGCTGAGGCTGAAAAAGCCATTTTAGATCTTCCTGTCTTGGACACAGTTGCCAAGAAGGCAAAGTCAACCATCCAAAAACGTAGCGCCGAGTTGGCCGAGGAAATCAAAAAGGCCACCTTAGACAATCTCCCAAGTATTCTAAAAGAACATTTTAAAAGAAATTCCGAAGACGACACCAAGCGAAGAAAGCGTTCTTCGGAGAAGCAGTGAAATCCGTTTATACGTATATAGCCTGACCAGGCATAGTTGCTAGATTCCATACGACTACTTTTATAAGTACGATAATTCATGATTCGTTGCATGGATACTACGATTATTGCGCGACTAGCGATACTGCCGTCGTGGAAACTGTTTCCATGGAGACTTGATTTCCATGGAAATGATCACCAACGACGCGGTTTTCGTGGATAGGTTAAGTCATGAAAATWGTTTCCATGGAGATGTTAGTGGTTTCCATGGAGACCGTTACCATAGACACAGCTGTCATGAATAGGCTAAGGTAGTTTGCACGCCATTTGATTGGACGGAACTAGTTTTAGGTGTAACATAATTATTATCACATATGGTGTGCAATGGTTGCTAAGGGAACATTTACATATCCTTTTTTCCACATTCTTGCGTTGCTATAGTAACCATGATTGTTAAAGTGTACAGTTACTTTAGAATCGTATCCATGGAAACTAAAGGGTAACTATGACAAGGTATCAGTCTTCTCGCTTGTAACATTTTATTGCGGTTAGTGACGTATGCATCTTAGTATAGAATCATTTTCGACAACTAGGAGACTTATTCCGGGTCTTAGCCGATTTTGATCATGTAATGATTGACGCTTGGCTCAACCAATCATGTTGCAGCTTTAGCATCCATCATTATTCGTTCAGTTTCATCCTAGTGAAATATTGTACAGAATAACGATAAGTGACGTTATCACTTTCGCTACATACCAGTCAAATCACGTGGTGCAGTCAGGGACATGGCGATCACGTAACCCGTCACGTGACATTAGTACATTTTRTTTTGAATAGATCCAATGTTGATCACCTCACTTGTATGATATTCGACTTCTTTATGAGAACTAATAAAATACACAATGCATAACAACTGACACTGGTTTCAATATCTTTAATGTTATCAAAACAACAGCGGAGACGAATCATCAACTATAGTACTTGAAAATGCTAATGGAAGAGCATTAAATGGTTTGTATTTCAGTATCCAAAATCCTCTTCGTGTCGTAGCCTTTCGACCACGACGTTTTTTCAAATAGCTGATATTGAACTGTCTGTGGTTCACGTTTTTTTATATATTGAAATACTGGCAATTTACAGCCCTTTTGCAAAAATTATGAGAATTGTCTAAATATCTAAATATCATAATATCCATATCCATATATTGTCCGGAACACGCGGGTTTGCTARAATAATTCATTGTTGACATCGAGAAAATGTTCAGAACTACGGATAAGTCTGTCGCGAAAAAAAAACTAAACTACAAAGACAAGGGACTAAGGGCATCGCGCGGTATTACCCATCATACACTCGATATTATGATATTTAGATATTTCAACAATTCTCATAATTTTTGCAAAAGGCTGTATATAAGTAAGATATGCTATATTACTAATAAAAATAAATCTTCTGATAACTATCTATAAAGGGCAGCCGTGCATGCACTTTCGAAAGTCTTCGCCATAGCAATATGGATTGCAATCATCTTTAATTGGACACTCAGCTGTACAATTTCTAGCAATTCCCACGCAGTTTCGAGTACAACTGTTCTCATTGGTTATTATTGTTCTCTTCTGTGGTCCTTGGAAAATTTTCTTCATTGGGGTCCCTGTGGTGAGGATGAGAAAGAGGMAGAGAAGAAGACTAGTAACTAATGTAGATGCCATGGCTCACTTCTGAAAGAAAGCATGAAACGGGATGCGTTAGTTTATGCGTTCTCATTAGTTTATATTAGGCGTCTATGTATTTATCTACCAAAATATTACCRAGGTGCATCAGTCTATTATCTGTTTCACGGACTTTTGGAAACAATCTCTAAATCCGTGGAAAATAGATSCAAATAAAACAAGGGATATAAAGTGTATGAGACACTCCCATGTGATATTTATTCTACGGGATATTTTAACTCACTCTCAACCCGTGAATTTGAAAAATGTAGTAACAATTTGGGGCAATAACATTATACTTTTTAACTCAGAGATTACGTAAGTAATCGAAGTGTTATTGGAGGGGGACGATTTAGTCACTCACTTTCATGTTAATTTTTATGAACAGCCGCTGAAAAAAATCGCAGGCTCCCAAAATGGCGGACCGAGAAATACCCGGGGAAATATAACTTCTATACACATGTCTAAAGCTGGTCTAAGAGACAATTTTTGTGGAAATTCACTTGGAGTGCATGGTGCTTAAGACATTTTGAAGAAAGTTGGAAAATTTGGATGGAAAGCGAAATAAGTTTTGTAGCTAAATTTCCCGGCGGAGGTTCGATAGACTGCGATCGTAGGTTTTGATGATTACAACAGCTATACACCCTTTTGGTAAGTCCCGAGGTATTGTGTTCTCCGCACTTGACGTCAAATTTATTCTTTTGAATTCCTTTTGTATTGTAAAAAATTCAAAAGAATAAATTTGACGTCAAGTGCGGAGAACTCAATTACTCGGGACTTATTAAAAGGGTGTATAGCAATGATTTAGCTGATCATAATAAGCTCTGTGGTACATTTTTTTTCAATTTCATATTCTGTTAAAATTTTTCAAAATCGCCCTACAATCTCCGAGTTGTGTTGCCGGCCATTTGCAGCTTGTTCAACATCTATATGTCGAAACAAGTCAATGAAAAAAAGGGGTGTGAAACTTACCTTAGTCTAATAGTTAAAAGTACTCTTTAAAATATATCTYGTGTCTTCAGTAATATATCACTGGCCGAAACTGCAACTAAGTTTACTTGACTGCAACTGTCACAATCCTGTGTGTAAAACAAATGTGTCCTAATGCCTAAACCCCTCATTTTATAGCCAACCCCAGTGATGACAAAATACACACAATACTTTCTTGTGGTTACTATAGACTAACGTAAAATAAACCACAAGAGAAGAAAATAACTATACCTCGTCAAGTGTGAAACGTCTTAACTGAATTACATAACTTGTTTTTACAAACTTTTCATCATAAAAGTGTGGGCGTCAACGACAATGAGTCTATGGCAGAACGAGCCTGATGAAAACACAACCTTTTTTAACGTAAAATGATGTGCTGGTAATAAATGTTGATTCACAGATCAAAAGATGTTTGYATTGACGGTTACTACAATATGCTTTAACGCCTGTAATATGAGCCGTTTTGATATTTAAGATCGGTCATGAAATTATACATAGTTTGGTTGCCATATGGTCTGGTACGTAATAGGCTGCTTATCATAGACAAAAAGATTACTAGAACAACCTACGCAGCAAGGAAAAGCTCTTTCAATCAAAATAACAAATAAAAATAGACGATTAAAAATAGAATATATGACACTGTACATGATAATATATAGCCCACGACGCACCTGTCCAGGGGCGGGTCCAGCATTTTATAAGGGGGGAGGGGGGGTGCGTTGGTCAGTAATAATAATATATAGTACCTAAAAACTAAGTATAGCAGATGGAACTGATCATTTTTGTTAGCTGGGTATTTTTTAGACCAAGAAAAATATGCACAATTTGAACGAAAGGAAATTGACTTTTATTGCAACGTATCTTTGACTACATTACTCAAATAGATTGTTAAGCAGTATAGARGCAGACACATGTTGTGTATGCTACTAGCGTTTTCTTGATAAAAGTACAACACGAGTATAAACAGCACAAAAACTTTTATACTGATATATATAAAAAATTATGTCGTTCGAAAAGGGGGGAATGCGTCCGCATCCAAAACACCTCCCCTGAATCCGCCCCTGCCTGTCTTTCTGGTGCTGTTTGAGCTTGTGCTTGCGACAGTTGTCACCATCACTTTGAAACCTGCTTTTTGATTACTCCATTAGTAAAAAAACCTCTATTGTTTCCTTAGGATTCGTTATATTGTTTGAAGGAGTGTCATTATTTTTCTATTGTTTTTAGAACCATTTACAAGATTCGTTTCGAACGGTTCGTGACGAACCTCTTCAGCTCAGTGGTTGGTGGTTGGTGCACAGGCGAAAACCTGGGCATGGAATGCGCTGGTACCCGAGCAAGGCTCAGATCTTGGTCGTCGCGGGGTACTTTTATTGTGTATGAACTGAACACGTGTTCAATATGACGCTTTTTAGTGTCGGTATACCCGAGAACGAGTGCCCGGGCACAAGCTAGTGTAAACAATGCCTCAATCAGATGTGCGCAGTTTCTATATTTATAAGGTTGTGCGCATAAAGTCATCGCAAAGACCGCTGTACACATAAAACACAAAACCCAAATGACAAGAATACGTTTTCTTGATTTTATTGCTATATAAATAATGTACTGAATCGTAAATTTACAATCCAAAAATATAACACTATATCTCTTCCGACAAGATCTATGTTACAATGAGCTAGTGTTGTTACATTTGTGATTCAAGTTGAGATTTTTGAGAAAAAAAGTGGAGTAAGCTATATTCGTGTTAGCAGCTGAATTGGACTGGAACTAGCTTGCGCAGCTCATGCACGTTTTCAGCATTATAGAGATTATTTGCATTGCAAAAGAATCCACCCACATCCCGCATGAGCCTCGATCGCAAGCTCGTCCCATTCCAACCTAGCCGTTCAAGTAGGAATGATATACCAAATGACAATGTTTAAACGTAGCAAAGAGCTGTGGAGGGCTTGGAAGAATCAATGGAAACAGACCGGCATGGACGTTACATGAGACAGGAATTCAAGCAAGTTACGAATGATCCTCCTGTGCATTGTCGTTTGCAGTTAGTGTAAAGAAATCCAGCGTCTGTACACAGAAACATGCAATGAAAAGCATCCCCGGCGCAGCCGTTAAAGCAAGGGTTTTCGTTTGTCACTGTGCCAACGGTTTTACCCCGACGAAATGTTCTCGCGCTGATWTGATGATTCTCTGGTGTTTCTTTGAGTGGGTGTCCTGTGGTGAACACGAGAGCGAGGCAGATAAGGAGACTAACAACTATGGCCGCCATTGTTTGTTCTGAAAGTAGAATGAAARTAAATGATAAAATGGTTTTGATAAAACTGGAACAAAAGTTTTTGATGATTAATGAAGGCAAGTACCGGTTGAGAAATTAATACACAAGAAGCAACCTTAATTGTTCAGTTTCTGGAGTATCGGAATGAACTTTATGTACAATTTTTTACAACGAATTATAGTTGATTATAATTATACCCCATCAACTGGATGGAGTGACTGTACCAGACTGATTTGAATGAATAGAGTGCTTCTTTATTATCTCGTAAAGCAAAGTGTAAAAGCGAAAGTGCAATAGAGTTCAATTCACCGACAAAGAAAAAGAAAAACGTGACAAAATGAAGATTAATAACATAAACGGTGACTATTCTTTTGTTCCAACTATAGATAGTATTTTTTAGCTGGACGCAAAATCTCAGTCAAAATCAGTTAGATTATACACACCTTCACTTCACTACTCATAAAACGTATAATGTACTAATCTGAATTAGCTAGTCTACTCTCTTTAAACAACGGTAACTTATAATCCCTCACCTGTTTTGCTTCAGTTATACTTGAGTATTCTTATAAGGCAGAGATTCCTCTCTTTACGAGCACAAATTGAACAGCTTAAGACCTTGTTCTTTATTGTCGTGTGCACTTTAACAGCCATCTTTTATAACCCGATCCAACAATACCTGACAAAGGACGTTATGGGGGACGTTATACTGCGGTTATTATCAACCACGAAATTGAGTAATTTCAGGTTACTATCGATATAAAAACAATTACCACATGAGGTCTGAGTCACAATACTGTTCACGATTATAATGTCATGTCATCTTTAAGTTTTATTCTCTTGTTGTATATCATCGATAGAGGAAAATGTACAGTCATCACAGCGGCGAACTTTAGAAATTAAGGTGTTTCTCTGATATTCCAGCTTTATCGTGGGAAACTGAAAATGATGAATCCTATAGCTTTTAAAAGTGAGCACAATCTTTCTATTGTTTCCAATATAAAATTGTTTTGACATCGGTGAAAGTGTCCACGCGATAAGAGTTGAATGATGGTAGTTTCTAGTGGGTAGCGGCTTTAGTAATAACTGTACGCATTGCAAAAGCGGTGTACTTTTATTTAGATTTTTAAATTGAATTAAAGAATCTAAAACGCACAAATGGATAAAAATCTAGTTCATTCGGTAGTGATTATTTTGAGGTGATATAACTGTGCGTTGGAGGTGACTAAGCAAGAGGAGGGACCACAGCTTTGAAATTTGAAAGAAAGAYAAAGTTTTGGGCTTGAAATACAACACTAACATTATTTCCAGCGTTTTAGCTTTTTATGTTTTTGAATGTTTATTCAGTGTTAGCGTAAAAAAATGTTTTTCTAGCGTTGTGTTACGTTTTATGGGTAACTCTGGCCATTCTAGCATGGTGTTGTCACCATATGAAGTAATTGACCACCATTGCCATATTGTGTCGCATAACACGTGTCTTACGCGTAATACAGATCTTAACACGTAACGTAAAATTTGAGGTGTGATCATTTATTGGTATCCTCCATTAAAATGCAAAACACCCATCTATGGTTTGTATAACTGCTTGTTGCAGTTTTTGAACAGTATATAAACATGATTATTCCGGTGTTAATTTTATCTTTTTACACGACTGTTTCTTTAGAAACACCGACGTGCATGAGCTAACACTAGTTTACCGCTAGTTCTCATCATTTTCCTTTTAAGCTTTGAGGTTATAGCACTTGTTTTGAGCTCATTCGAGCTTTTTACAACACACATTGTTCACTGAATCCCCAGTCTTAGTATCTATAGCTGGCATATGGAAGCGTGTAGTTATATGTCACTGTAAAACCGTTATGTACACGACCATGAAGTCACCATATTGCTAAATGTCTTCTCTTTGACAGTGGTAGACCATAATTCAATTGTGTTTTTGTTTCTTCTGTTCGTTGCTTTGCTTTCAAACAAGACAAAGCGGAAGCTAAGGGCTGTAAGAGCGTAGACAATCACAAATGTTCGACACCTATGGTAGTGAGCAAGCAACTATCGTTTTCGTTATGTTTTGTCCTTTGTCGGCAAGCACCATTTGTACTACAAAAAAAATCAAATTCACGGTATTATACAGCAGAAAAGTGTGCGGTTATTAAAATTATCCGATATTAATTTACTGAATATGAACAATGGGCTTAAGATGGGAACAGCTGTTAAATTCCATTGGATTCCTGGTTTCAAAAATGAATATATCATTAATATTACATATTGACTTGCCCCAGTTCCCCACGGTATGAAATCTGCGCCACGTTGAGTTGTCCCCAGGTCACTCTTGTTTGTCAGCTTTTACAATGCGATTCAAGATGGTGGTCGGACGTCTACGAAGTCTAAGTGAGTATTTAACTAGCGAAATTATACAAATTTGATTTGTCCTTGCAAGCACATTGTCTTGCATTGTAAGCAATATAGCATTTTACGGCTGCTTCTTGACGTTTAGTAAACAAGGCAACGTTTAATCAAGCTTTAAAACCATCTCATATACCTTGCTATCGTGCTCTTTCTCATCTCCGTGTCTGTATCAGAGGGAAGAGACATAAATAAGCGGGACAACGTAGAGATTTTTCTACTGCAGAATTCTACATTAATTTTCATAGCTCCGAAGTCGACGGCCATAGCTGATATGAGCATGCTGCTGATATGTAAAATATGGGCATATACCTATCAAGCACTCGTGCGTAACGCATATAGGGCGCGAAAAGAATATAATAATATTACTTAGATTAGCATGGAGTTGTTTTCGTTAACGTGAAATACAATTTAGCGTTCTACATTCTATAACTCCCCATTTTGCTTGTTTTTCTTTGTGATTTTGGCGTAATAATTTGTTCAGATACACCAAATAGAACAGTGCACGATAAACTGTAATAAGGTCTAATACACTAAAATATATAATTTTATGGGATTGATTAAAACCGCTCTATGGCGAATCATTTAGTGTTTGATAACAGCTATTTCACGGGTTTTCGTGACCGCACTCAATGTTGTAAACTCTGATGAGAATAGTTTTCGCGACTTTTAGCTTACTGCACTGATGTATCATGGAGTTGTCCTCCTGTGTTGCCGGCATTGTAAAATATTAAAGTGACATATATTTCCTGCAAATGTTAGTTGTTTTTTCAGTATCTTTTTACATTTATTTCTTTCCATAACATTTCAAATAACAGTCATTCATATATTCTTGACAAACATTAGCACATTCCAAGTCGGTGGGACAGACAGACAGCAAACACCTTGTATGTGCGCGGTTACATATATTACTGCAAGTGGATCTGACAAGCTTGGTTGGTGATGTTGAGCATGCGCTTTGAAACAATACCGCTGCCACGAAAATCAGCAAGAAGCTTGTRCTTTTGTTAATCATCTGTTAAGGTAAATATCAATTGATTTATTTGATTTGCTTGTTGTAATTATTGTATTAATTTCTATTGCCTTTTATTACGGTTTAATAATCCTTTTGTGTGCTGAGAAATTATCGTCAAATTAGGAATAACATTTTAATATTGTGCTCCCGGCGGCGTAAACGAAACTTTTTTTGGGGGGTTGGGATTGGTGGTAAGAACCCAGGTTTTTTAAAAAGGTTTTCTTTAATTCTGCTGTTTCTAAACTTATATTAGACCTCAGCATCAGGTCTAATATCTGTAATATACCACTAAAACACTGCGCTGCCCTCGTAGGACTTAAACGCCAGCCTTTCAGTTTTCTTTTCAAACAAATCCGCGACGCTATTGTATCTTGGATGGCCATACATGTTTTGTGGGAAAAATATGTGTGTTTTGATTTTCGCCGTACCTTCTTTGTCTCATGTACAATGTAATTAAATCAGTGAGATTTATGACTTATAAACAGAGAAAATTTCATTCAAAACGTATATGTTTAAAGCGGTTTTATGACCATAAACACTGAGTACATTTCTCAATTCAAATTTACAGCAGGAACATTTCAAAGTTAGTGATCGGTTTACTGAGCTTCTATCTTTAAAATGATCTCATCAGTTTTCAATAACAAAACTACGTATTTTGAAAACTAAGAAACTAGTAGCTATAGCATACCTTTTTCGACGCTGGTGTGTATTGTTTACGATATCTGTCCTTCTGTGAATAGCTAGCATAGTTCAAATCAACTATGTTATATACGTACAATGTTTGCTCCATCCACGTGTAGCTTTGTGTCTTCCTATTCAAGCTGGGTGTAAATCCGGCCTCTTAATTAATTTCTTTATTAAAACCCTTATGAATAGGTGTGAATTGCATAAAAGAAAATATGCCGAGTAAATATAAGGTGTGTAATACCATTCATGATACTTCCTTTTATCCTAATATCGGTCTATATCTTAGTGCGCATTTCAAAAGCGATACAGGAACGCCCTTGATATTGATTCCTTACAGCGTAATCGTATATCATTTGAAGCTTTTGCTGTTTATATGTGTAAGTTAAAGAAAATTAAATTATTTAGTACAAGCTGTGGACGTCTTGGCGATTTGATTTGACAAAAATGTCATGCACGGCGCTAATTTTGTTATATATTGAATTGAAAAGTGTGCGGAAAAAAGCAATTCAAGGGAAGGCTTTTGACTTTGTTTTCATGACTTCGCCAAGCTTGATTCTTATTGAAGTCTGGTTTACTACGAAGCGCAACCATAAAGGGAAAATATGAATTAAAGTTGCTTGTGATTCGTGGCACTCGTTGAATTTATTTGTAATTGTCTTTGTGAAAACCATGCCACACAAAGCCCTTCAGATTTTCTAAAAAAAGGAAATTGCTTAATTCGAATCGCTTTTTTCTTCTGATGGAATTGTCGAAAGATGCGGGGTGTTCTACAGTTCGATCTGAGCCGGAAGCTCTTCAAGTCAGCTTAGCAATTAATAATCCAAAAGCGTTATGATGGCCATGCGCTTTTGCACTTCCGTTAAACTTTATTGTTTCACACAGAGACAAAGAAAAATAGAAGTTGACGCAATATTCATTATTCACTTGTATTGAGAAGAGCGTGATATTAATTTTAATGCCAAGATATCTGTAAAATATGAGCTACATATAAATAGCATTTACAGTAGCTGCCATAGTTGATAGGGGCATGATAGTCCCCCTTCATTTTTACCCTTTAATTATTACAAATCCAATCATAACCTCGAAGCCGTACTGGTTTTATTAATAATCAGTTGTCTTCTATATAATGTTGCTCGATTATTTTGATGTTTTGTGCTACAAAAAAGTTTCTTGATGAACTACGGTTGATTTAAGCTTTCATGATTTCATCAAAGACCCAAACCAAGCCACCCAGCCAAGCCTATCCACGCTGAACAAACTTGTAACGTCTCCAGCTACTTCCATAACAACGCGAGATACAATCATTGAACATKGCATAACATTCTTTTTTCTCGTCTTGGCACTGTGTCAGAGTTCCKGAGCATTCCATATTGCAATTTGGGTACCCTGTGGCAGCGAATACGGTAATACTGGAAACCAGTAGGAATAACATTATCGCAAACTTCATCTGTGAATAAAGAGAAAAATTGGTCGATCAAAATTTGTGCAAAACACTTTCTACGAATCCAGCTGCGTTGGTTTGGAAATCATTATTGTGGCTGCCCACATCAACCAGAAATGCCATTTTTTTTATTTCGCGAAAAAATGATTGACAGCTATAAATCTGGTAAACCCTCGCAATTTCCCGACGTGAAAATTACTGTAACTATTACAGTTTTTAAGAGATTTCACCTGACTTAGTGACTAAATCGTGCTTAATATAGTACACTGACTAAACAGCCCCTTGTTGCGAATGATTTTTTAATTTCATGGATAGAATTTCTATCATGTGAAAAATTCTCTGTATTTAGACATTTTATAATATACTTGCTTATATAAAAGGTAAATAAAGGTAAGGAATAATCGTTTAAAATCATTATCTTTGAACATTTCAAGCTCTTAGAGAGTGATTCGAGACTTTTTTTACAAGAAATATTATAGACACTCCGTCTCCCCATACATATGTGCGTAAGATAGACTTAGTACCTTAAAATACAAAGAGAAACTTAATTTTAACATATCTTTTACCTTTTGTAGCGATTTGTCTTTTTACGTTGTGTTGTCTTGCTCTTGTTGATAAATTTTACACAATTTTAATCAAGTTAACGCAGCAAAAGCCTTTATATTATGATCCTTGTACTCATTGAATAGTAATAAAGCATTGCTTGAGGTTGTCGCGGTTCACCAGAGTTGCCTTCCCACTAAACATCTGTGTGTCGGATAACTTTTTTGATCTGTTTAACAAATATTCTTATTTCGAGATTAATTTAAGCTTTAAATACTCGTGAATGAGAATAAATGGTGCCTTAAATATAACAAAACCGAAATAAACTGGAATGGAAAGAGATATAAGTCACAATGCAGCGCGAAGGTCAGTTTACTTTTTAGCATTTTAATCAGCTATATTCTCAGAATAAGGGAGACCTATCTTGTACTTAAGTTACATTTCTTTCATTTCAGTTTAGACATGATGKCTCATATTACATCAATTCMCAATTTGYTTTCAYGGCGTGAAGGCTTCGATTTGCAGAGAGTGTGCGTATACTCACGGAAAGGTCAAAAAGCGCGCGAAAACGTGATCTTAAAAACCGCGCGCGCTGCAACCGCCAGCGMACTTTAGTGTGGGATGTTTCCTTTTTTGAATAGTCATTGATTTGCTATGTGCTTTGGGGAAATCTCTACAGCTTGCCATTATCTCATAAAAAAATTCTTGTAATGGCCAATCGGCCATTTAAGGCTACGCGATATCGTAAATCTGTGCGGTTTATTGGTGGTTGATAAAGAGAAGTGAATCAGAAAAGCAGACGCCTTGATATATCAGTTATCACATGCAAGTAATGTTATAGTCGTATAAAAGATTAGATATGTTTTATGGGTTCGTTTATTTGTCTTGGAAATTATACATAATTCAATGTCATTCTGTCA